CCTCTGATCCATGTTTTCTGGCGCCTTCACTGATGTGTTGACCGACACTGATTTGCAGGGCTTAGTACACTCCATTTGTTTGTCTGTTTCCAGATTTTGATTGGAAAACTGTTGATGCCAGAAACATTAGTATAAATATCCTTATATGTACACGAATCCAGCCAGAAATGTGTTTTCATAATATCAATATATGGAAAAGTGAAACATTACATGCATACATAAATATACAAACGCAGTTTATCCCAGATGTTTTAACTAAATTCCCCAAAGCTGCGACTTTAGCTACCATAAGATAGGAATTTTCAGATTAATGACTATATTTCTCTTACGGAAGAGAAACATAGGCCCAGACTATTCTATGAAAGCTATCTTTATGACAACCTTTTACGGTTCTAGGAGTTAAGAATGGCAGTTTGGAAAAATACAAACGATAAAACCCTTTCCGTTATAATGAGAATTCTTTGTGTATTGTAGGATTTTGACTGTCATAATCATTTGCTTATGAAACTCTATCAATTAGTATTGAAGAAATGAGCGCAACGATTAAAACCTTCTGAGCAAGAGTTATATGAATTATATCACCCGCAGTTTATCCCAGACGTTTTAACTAAATAGTTCATCATTAACTATTGTCATAGAGTAAACCATTTCAATAAGTTTCTGTAAAACTTCATATATTCAAACAACATAATTGTTTCCATATATATCCAAAGTGTACCGAAATTCTATCCCCTTTGTCTGTTTAATGTATTCGGCAATCATTCGGTGTAGCCCTTTTATCATAAACCCCCCTCAGGGCAGGACCCTTAATCCTTAACGACCTTGCACAACGTGGCGTAATGTCCCTATGTATAAAACCCGACTCACATGGTCACTCAGGGAGACCAAGCAGGGAGACCAGTCAGAGACGACGCGACGAAACGGGCCCAGATCACCCACCGAAGCGGACGGACTGTGCTGCTAGTCGGGGCGTCGGCCAAGGCCGTCGCCTCACCAACGACTACGTCGACGATGAAGAATCTCCGTCTGACTTCTGAATGTGTGTAAGTGACAGAGCGGGTCTCCACATCGGGAACATTGGCCACACGGTCCCGATGTGCGTTCTGTCACGTGATTTCCATCTAATGTACCATTTCTACCATTATTCCCCAACCATAATAAACATGGCTGCTGTTGGCGTCAACTATACTGCTGACTTTTGTCTTCCGCCTCTTGAACTACCATCCGAGAGTACCACAACGAACGCTCTTGGACACTATCATATCTGATTAGAACATTATATCCAATAACTTCTGAAGAAAGACAATTCCGTTTGTGATAAATCGAAATAACTTAAAGTAGCTATTTCATAAAAAAGCCTTTTCATTTAGGAACGTCAACTCATCAAACTTCCAGGTTTCCGGAACAATGGGTAACGACACTAACACAAAATAATGTCACAACACAAGCACCCTTTCGACGGCAAAGGTTCCTGACACTTACTGACATAATTTCTCCATTATCTTCATGATCATGATTTGTTCTGTGGCAGGCAAAGGTCATTACTTCTTGTTGGAAAGACACGCACACTGCGGCCTTTGTACATACATCCCGACACACGTGTATGCTGTGAGCACTAGCTGATACCAGTTGAGAAAAAAACAGTGCTAATGCCAAGAAACCCGTCATTGTTGTTAATACGATGTTCCGTCACTAAGCGATAAATATAATTTCTACAAGTTATGTAGACTGCTTGTCTTGGTTTGAAATAACAAAGGAATCACACTGTCCAATCACTGTAGCTTGCTTCTTAAATCTTGCTTTTATTTATGATCCACGGTGCTTGTAACTGTACCTCTAGCGCAGATTAGTGGATCGCTATGTGCTATGCCTCTGGTATGAATATGTCAATATTTGATCGCGTGGAACCTGTCAGTTACTATTGTATGCACAACTAACGAAACCAAATACTTGCTTCCAGAGGTCCAGTTACAAGCACTGTTGACTTTCCATAAAGCTTTAAGAAGCAAATTTTGGTGACTGGAGTGTGTAATCCGGTGAGATTTCTGAACTTTCCAAACTTATCACCAGAAATTCCTTCGGATTTCTCCCAAGTGAAATGATCTTTTCCCTAAAGTCATTCGATATGATGTTATTATGTTTGATAGTTAATCATAAACAATATCGTGTGATATGAATGAACATCAAAGAAAGTCATACAACTCTTGCTCAGAAGTGTTTGATGAGGGTTACATGATTACACACCTTAACAATGTTTCCCTCCTCTCACAGGACTGTGATGAGCGCCTCATCTTTTCGTGAACATCTGGAATAACTACTTACTGATGGAGTTTCATGAGCACATGGTTATGCCATAGTCAAAATGTTACAATGGACAAAGATGTCTAATGATAACTGAAAGTGTTTTACTGCTTTTATTTTGCCAAACTAGACCTGATGTCATTAAGCTGCAAATCCGTAAGAGGTTGTTATGAAGACAGCTTTCATAGAAAGGTTTGGGCCTATGTTTTCCCGCAACAGAAGACTGAAGTGATATCATTATGCCTCAACTTTGAGGGACTCAGCTAAACTGGGATAGACTGATTTGTATTTTTATGCATACATAGAATGTTTCACATAAGTATACATATAAGTATTATGAAAACACATTAACGGTTGAATACATGGATATGCGATCTGTGATCAGCACAATAAAAGATTCATCAAAACTAAAAGTGATGACAACCCATTTCATAGGCGGACCCAGAGGGTTATATTTGTCCTGAATGTTCATTAAATGACCATTGAAACTCTGGTGTAAATGAATTGTGCACCCCATTTCTGAAGTGTGTGCATGCCCCCCTTTCTCAAAATGCTGCATTTTCCCATGCATTTATCTATGACAAAGCTGAACTGAACTGAACTTACAATTTTGGATATTTTTAGTTATTTCCCAGACATATGGTCTAATAATCATCCTGGGTCACTTGCTTACAGGTAGTCCTAGACTCCGTCCGTCCGTGCACATTTGTCTTTTCCTGAGCAGAACTCTAAAACTGTTCAATATTTCTTCACCAAACTTGGCGCATAGATAGATCTGGTGGTGTACTTGTGCCTTTTGGTAGTTTTGGAATTCTGAATAAAATCTTTTTGTCATTTCCATGGCAACAAGTTTGACTTAGAATGAAACCGGTGATAGTGCTCCTTTCTGGAGCAGAACTTTCAATACTCTCCTTCCACTTTTCTATATACACACCTAAATATTTGACATAATCATAACCCGTAGACATAATCATGAAGAGTATTTTGCCATTGCGGGGGGATATTGATGACTTTGTCTTCTTGTTATTCAGCTGTTTGAACCTATATTTCTCGCAACTGATACAAGGACAGGGGACATTTATGATGATGCCGTTTGGAAACCCTTGCTGTGGTCTACGCCATATTTGGAAATTCATCGGCGACCTTCAGCTTCATTCGTGACCAAATCGTGTTATTCTGGGACAAGCCGAATAGCGAGAGTTTAGGGGAAAGGGGCGAGTGGTAATGAGTGCTTCAGCTTCTGCGAGTATGGCGGCCATCTGGATGAGTCTGATCTATGGAGATTGTCCGGCTTCAACTGTATCATGCCATCCCTCACCGTCTCAATCTTTGTGAACAAGTACTACAGCATGAACTACGGTCTGTTATTCCTGGCTAATGTGAGCAGATTCTTGTAAACACAAACAACATATCAACAAGAAACTGTTATTAGCTTGAAATGTCTCATGTTGTTTCAACTCACTGTACACTCCACATCCTGTGTGCATTAGCAACGACATTCACGTACTGTCCCTAATGGGCACCTGTTGGCAGTCCAGCATGTACACAGGTACGTCGGTAAGAGGAATACAACAAATCTATGAGCACTGAACTCGTTAACCTACCCCATCCATGACCACCACCCCAACTCTCCCATCTATGACAACTTCTTTGATGACGGCGTCATTGCCTCTGTATTTAAAAACATGTGAAGGTCCGGGCTAGAATTGATCTTCAGTAGCCCACGCTTGTCGCAAGAGGCGACTAACGGGGCCGGATGGTCAGGTTTGCTGACTTGGTTGACAGATGTCATCGGTGATGCTCATTATGTTGATCACTGGATTGTTTGGTCCAGGTTCGATTATCTTCAGAGTTTACACAAGTATGTAACATCAGTGTAATTGAGGTAGTGTGATAGAGTTATATGTAACATCATTGTATTTGAGGTAGTGTGATAGAGTTATATGTAACATCATTGTAATATGAGAGTAGAAGTAGTGTGATAGAGTAATTAACAAAATGTTAGAATGTCGATACAGCGTTACCTCGAAAATCCACTTTATTAAGAGAGAACCCAAGTGTCATGTACGTCCCACCGTACAATCAATACTGAGATATCTTCTGGACCGAACCACGGGTATGAGATGTCAGCTTACAGCTTTTTCCCATCGGACTAAACTGAAGTACAAAAGAAAGTACACACCTGGTGTTTTGGGATTATTTGAAAAGTGTTGTGATTTTGAATGGCAACGTCGCAATTGGGCACGAAATCTGTGGTGTTTTGGCAACATACATGTATTATGAAAGTCTGTGACTTATATATCACTGTAAAAACTCTTTTCAAAACATTTACGTCGCTTTTTGGAAAGTAATACAAAAGCACCGGGTGTGCACCTTCTTTTGCACGTCAGTCTATATTCACATTATTCATGGAAGTAGATGTGTACATGTTAACATAATGCCATTTTTGCTTTGAATTTCGTATCGTTATGGGTTTTGTCGCTTCCATTATTAACTATATCATTATCATTATGTCATAATTTATTTATCTTGTGGTTATTTGTTTTGCACGGCGAGAAGCTGCAGCCGTTAAGTAAAGGATGAACACGTGTGGGGTTGAATGTCGATGATAGAATATCAAGTTTATGGATTTATGAAATTTCAAATAAATAAATGACAAGATATGGCAGGTCAAGTGCTCATTTCTACTATCATTTCTTTCAATCTCTCCATAAATATGCTTCGTCTGCTAACAGTTGGGCAAGTCTCTGGTTATAAGGTTCATAGAACTCCTCTAATATCGTCCTGGTATCGTTGTTCATGTTGCCCGTGTTTCGGCTGGACTTGGGTCGTGGATTGGATTGCGTTTTGTTGAGAACATCCATCCATTGAGATTCAGAAAGTTGACCTGAAAGCACAGGGATCATACAGGTCAAGGTTGAGTGTTGTCACTGAGAAACGTATCCATATCAGAATTATAGGTTCAATGTTTCTTGGTGCGTGTCTTGTTTTACACCGTACTCAACAACATTTCAAACAATAGGATGGCGTACTGTAATTATAGCCCAACACCGATACAGTACTATGACAAACAGTCGTTTAAGTCATACAACTTGACAACCCGATGCATTTAGTCGCGACGAACGAAACTATCTCATGGCTCAATACTAAATTGTCATCCAAGTCACTTGGATCCAAGACTACCCGATCCAGATCAGTAGCAGGAACCTGTTCTGACCTTTGATACTAAAGACACATCAGTTTTGTTAGTGTTGTGAGTAGATGGGAATCGTTAATCTAAGTACTGCCTTCAGGCAACCAGATTCATCTCAAAGTGCTCAATGTCAACATTATGTAAATGTAATCTTACAGTCTGAGAGAGCAAGACATTATGTTAATGGAATAGAAGAGTATTACCAGAAGATAAAACGCAGAAAATTACAACAAATTTCTGAGATAGATTTGTGGTTAATCTCATGCTTGGTTTAAAGTTACAAAGAGATAAATAGAGAGATGTGCGAGTGAGTGAGTGAGTGAGTTGAGTTGAGTTTACGCCGATTTTAGCAATATTCCAGCAATATCACGGCGAGGAATACCAGAAAAGGGCTTCATACATTGTGCCCATGTGGGGAATCGAACCCGGGTCATCAGCGTGACGAGCCCCGTGAGAGAGATGCACTGGGGCAAAGTAAACCTATGTGAGTATGGAACCTGGTGCTGTGTTAATCTTTCATCACCAGTACACCCGTCTGACCCCTCACCCGTGACTTAGCAACAGTCGACGGACGAAGCGAGTGTAGAGCCTGAACTTACATCTCCTGACAATGTGGAACGGCCATATTTCTAGGTAGCTGCAGTAGGGACTACTAACGAATGCAATAACATCAGTATGTAAACACATGGCTACTTCAGATAGCATTAACGTTTTAGGGAATGGGGGCGGTGGGGTAGCTTAGTGCTTTAAGCGTTCGCTCGTCACGCCGAAGATCCGGGTTCGATTCCCGACATGGGTACAATGTGAAGGCCAATTCTGGTGTCCCCGCCGTGATGTTGCTGGAATGTTGCTAAAAGTGGTGTAAAACCATACTCACTCACTCTCTATTACGGGAACGGATGGCCAAATTACATTCGAGTGCCACAAGCCTATGAGATCGCGTATTGTCACTGATTATGTTCTTATGCGTATTCACATTATAATGTCACCAATGTGGGAAACATCTAACAATTGTATCAGTTCACTTGTGGGTTGCCAGCATCACCCTGACACGCTGTCACGTTACTGGAATTCTTCTAACCCAATGTTAAACCAAACTCACTCACTAACGCATGCTGTGACCATGTATCTGATAGTAACAAATAAACCCGTTTAAATTGAGAAGGAGCCCAATTGAGTTGGGAGATTCCTGAACCTGGCGAAATCTAGACTTGCTTCATCTAGGGCTTTAGCATTGCAGGTAGGGCTAGGCAGTAGAGATGATAATGTGGTCCCAGTACTGTGAACAGACTAGGTGTGACTGTGATACTTCAAAAGTGTATGTACGTCACCTGGAACAATATTGACACATATCTCCCTCACACTATTTTGATGATGCATCTTTACCGGTACTTACTCAGAGAAAGGAAGTCGAACAGTTTTTCCATCTCTCCACGTGTGTTGGCTACGTAATCCTCAAACCTGATCACGTGTACCTGGTCACGTGGAAAAACTTTCAACCAATCCTCGAGGAAGGCGTGGTATATTCCAATGATTGGACGAACCTTGAACAGAAAGATGAAGAATAGTCTGACGCAGTGAACGAACCATATATGTTGTAACGACTTTGTTATTAAACTAATTATTAGTATAAATGATGTCTATTACTGTGGTGGTCGACGTGCTTAACAAATCAGGCCCCGCCCTCAACCGGACTGCTGTCTCCTGATTGGTGGAGAGTGGAGTCAACGGAATTGATGTTGCGTTTTGCGCTAAACTTCACTGATTTTGTATATTCATATTTTTATACATCCATAATCGTAACACCATATTGAAATGAATTCTTAAGAAAATTTAAATCCAATACATGTTTTAGTAGAATTAAGGCATGGATGAGTCAAATGTTGGCTTCTCACTGCCAATAAGGCATTGACGACTTGTATTTAATCTTTCGGGTACAATGTTTTAAACATGTAGCTTGACTTACAAAGGACATTGCGTTCTCCAGTTTGGAGTCGTATACACAGCGTCTTAGAGAATAATGTTTCAAACAACCCTTGAAACGATAAATAGCCTGGATGATCCTCTTGTGAAAATCCAATGTGTCTGGTTTGTATTTGAGATATTTGAGCTCATAGAGGTAGTCGGAATAGACTCTGAAACAAACAACAATACGTTATTTAAAGGTCCTCACATGAATGTGAGGTAATGATAAAAGTGCCTGTAAGTGTTGGGAGAGTCTAGAGTCAGCCGGGTCAGAACTGGTCTTCAGCAACCCATGCTTGTCGTAAGAGGCGACTAACGGATCAGCACGTGGTCAGGTTCTCTGACTTGTTGACACACGTCATCGTATCCCAACTGAGCAGATTGATGCTTATGATATTAATCACAGGATTGTCGGAACTCGATTATTTAGTAACTGACGCCATATTGCTCTGAGAGTGGCGTTAAACAACAAACCAACCAACCAGAATCACTCAATCAAACATTAAAAGCCATTTTACTTTGTATGGATTTCCTGTTAATATATGATATCTTTCGGGCAAATAGAGTGAGTGAGTTTACCGTTACGCCGCTTTTGGCAATATTCATGCAATATCAGAGAAAGGGGATTCACAGATTGTACCCATGTGGACAGTCGAACCCGGGTCTTTGGCGTAACGAACGAACGTTTTAACCACTAAGCTGCCCCACCGTCCCTTGGGAAAATAAAACAAGCCGACATTCAGTTCAGATGAATTACCAAGATCTGGCCCAGTGTGAAATCCACACAACATGATGCATCCCTACAGGAAATAGACAGACTTGTCTGGTATGTTTGGCTGGAATCTTACTGTCTTTTATCATATGGATAGATGTCGCCACATCAAGACATCAATGAGGGAAATGTATATATATTGTTATGCCAATGCCAAGATGTTCCCTTGAAATGGAGTTAGTTGTGAACTGAGCTGATCTTTGTTACACTTTTAGCGCCTTTGTACACAACAACCTTGGCATTACTACATGCCATGGGTTAGTGAGTGAGTTTGGTTTTACACCAATTTTAGCAATATCACGGCGGGGAACACCGGAAATTAGCTTCACACATTGTACCCATCCGAGGAATCGAACCCGGATCTTCGGCGTCATTAGCGAACGCTTTAACCACTAGGCTACCCCACGCCATCGGTTAAGGAATGGGAGTTATGAAGATCTTAGTGCTAGGCCGCTTTGTACACTAAGGTTGCTTCATTAGAGGTACAGTTCAGTATGTGTGTATTAACACAGAATTACACTATGACAAGCATCTGTTTCTCGCTATGAAGTTGCTTAATTCTACCAGCAATATACACTAAACGCCAAAAAAACGTTACCCTCCTTCCTTAATGACGGAGGTACCTATCTTCAGCTAACGTTGTGATGCGTGGACGTCCACTTCTTGGTCTGTCTACGGTGATCACAGTCAGTCTGAAGCCCTAACTACGTCTTATAACCGTAATACGGTGGCATCTGAGGGCGTTGGCAACAGCATTGTACGTCGACCCCATCTGCACCATCCCAGTGGCTCTTTTTTCTCTCCAGCTGTTAATCGTGGCATATTTCACGTACTTGCGTATCATGTCATGTATTCTATACCCTATAGAATCATTCTACATGTGAAATGGATGCAAATACTGCATGCATATTGCTGCGTTTTGGCGATTGATATCTCTATGCGTAAACAGAAAATGGAAAAAATGTTACTTTGCAAGCCAAAATGTTAGCAAGATAATTTTAGATGCTCCTAAACATTTTTCACATTATCACGCACACGTTTTACTTGTTTTCACTAATGCGAAATCAGCAGAAAATGTTTTAAAAGGCTGAAATCATAGGAACGATTATTTTACAATTTTACACACTCTACAAAAGTTGTTTTTTAATAGTTGAAAAATGGTGACTTTTAATGGTTTATCTTTGTCCCAAAGCAGAATTTTATTTCAACCTTTCTTTTGGACATCTAAATGACTGTTATTGGTATATTTCGGCATGGACGAAAATAGGACAATTTAACTCTTCTGAAAAAGATGCATTTCACCTAAGTATGAATGCATTTGAGATTTTTTTTTTCGTAATTTGCTTACAGCTGTGTTGTTAAGCTTTCTTGTAAACTAATACCTTCTAACATATCTTTGATAGTTTTTTTAGTAATTCATAAAGGTAGGAGGGTAACGTTTCTTTTGGCGGTTAGTGTATAGTTAGCACCACCCGTACAGACACACACACACACACACACACACACACACATACATACATACATACATACATACATACACACACACACACATACATACATACATACATATACACACACATATATGCATATACATACACACACATACACACACAACCACCCGTACACACACGCATACACACACATATATACATACATACAGACAGACAGACATATACACACATACACACACATATATACATACATGCATACACACACACACACACACACACACACACACATACATACATACATACATACATACATACATACATACATACATACATACATACATACATACATACATACATACATACATACATACATACATACATACATACATTATTCAACAATACATACACCCTCACTCCCACACCAAACTATACCCACAGCCCCGTTGTTTACATCCTTCAACACACTATGCACCTGTCTACAGGATTCCTGAGAGCCACAATGATCTTGGTGCCGGGGTTGAGGTGGTGTATGTAGTCAGCGTTTGTGAGACAAGGCTCTGTACACTTGCTGTTGCGGGGAAGATCCTGCCATAGATGGTTGTCCCACATGATGTCAACACTGCCTTCTCCTGTAGAGGGAGGTGGAACAGAGGTTAGTACCCGACTTACACATGATGTCAACACTGCCTTCTCCTGTAGAGGAAGGTGGAACAGAGGTTTCTACCCGACTTACACATGATGTCAACACTGCCTTCTCCTATAGAGGGAGGTGGAACAGAGGTTAGTACCTGACTTACACATGATTTTAACAATGCCTTCTCCTGTAGAGGAAGGTGGAACAGAGGTTAGTACCCGACTTTACACATCATGTCAACACTGCCTTTTCCTGTTGAGAGGGGTGAAACAGAGGTTAGTACCCGACTTTACACATGATGTCAACACTGCCTTTTCCTGTTGAGAGGGGTGAAACAGAGGTTAGTAGCCGACGTTACACATGATGTCAACACTGCCTTCTCCTGTAGAGGAAGGTGGAACAGAGGTTTCTACCCGACTTACACATGATGTCAACAATGCCTTCTCCTATAGAGGGAAGTGGAACAGAGGTTAGTACCTGACTTACACATGATGTCAACACTGCTTCTCCTCCTGTAGAGGGAGGTGGAACAGAGGTTAGTACCCAACTTACACATGTCAACAATGCCTTCTCCTGTAGAGGAAGGTGGAACAGAGGTTAGTACCCGACTTTACACATGATGTCAACACTGCCTTTTCCTGTTGAGAGGGGTGAAACAGAGGTTAGTACCCGACTTTACACATGATGTCAACACTGCCTTCTCCTGTTGAGAGGGTGACACAGAGGTTAGTACTTGACTTTACACATGATGTCAACACTGCCTTCTCCTATTGAGAGGGGTGAAACAGAGGTTAGTACCCGACTTTACACATGATGTCAACACTGCCTCTCCTGTTGAGAGGGGTGACACAGAGGTTAGTGCTTGACTTTACACATGATGTCAACACTGCCTTCTCCTGTTGAGAGGGGTGACACAGAGGTTAGTACCCGACTTTACACATGATGGCAACGCTGCCTTCTCCTGTTGAGAGGGTTGAAACAGAGGTTAGTACCCGACTTTACACATGATGTCAACACTGCCTCTCCTGTTGAGAGGGGTGACACAGAGGTTAGTACTTGACTTTACACATGATGTCAACACTGCCTTCTCCTGTTGAGAAGGGTGACACAGAGGTTAGTACCCGACTTTACACATGATGTCAACACTGCCTTCTCCTGTTGAGAAGGGTGACACAGAGGTTAGTACTTGACTTTACACATGATGTCAACACTGCCTTCTCCTGTTGAGAGGGTGACACAGAGGTTAGTACTTGACTTTACACATGATGTCAACACTGCCTTCTCCCTGAGAGGGTTGACACAGAGGTTAGACCCGAGGGTTGAAACAGAGGTTAGAAACCCGACTTTACACATCATGGCAACGCTGCCTTCTCCTGTTGAGAGGGGTGAAACAGAGGTTAGTACCCCACTTTACACATGATGTCAACACTGCCTTCTCCTATTGAGAGGGGTGAAACAGAGGTTAGTACCCGACTTTACACATGATGTCAACACTGCCTTCTCCTGTTGAGAGGGGTGACACAGAGGTTAGTACTTGACTTTACACATGATGTCAACACTGCCTTCTCCTGTTGAGAGGGGTGACACAGAGGTTAGTACTTGACTTTACACATGATGTCAACACTGCCTTCTCCTATTGAGAGGGTGAAACAGAGGTTAGTACCCGACTTTACACATCATGTCAACACTGCCTTTTCCTGTTGAGAGGGTGAAACAGAGGTTAGTACCCGACTTTACACATCATGGCAACGCTGCCTTCTCCTGTTGAGAGGGGTGAAACAGAGGTTAGTACCCCACTTTACACATGATGTCAACACTGCCTTCTCCTATTGAGAGGGGTGAAACAGAGGTTAGTACCCGACTTTACACATGATGTCAACACTGCCTTCTCCTGTTGAGAGGGGTGACACAGAGGTTAGTACTTGACTTTACACATGATGTCAACACTGCCTTCTCCTGTTGAGAGGGGTGACACAGAGGTTAGTACTTGACTTTACACATGATGTCAACACTGCCTTCTCCTATTGAGAGGGGTGAAACAGAGGTTAGTACCCGACTTTACACATGATGGCAACGCTGCCTTCTCCTGTTGAGAGGGTTGAAACAGAGGTTAGTACCCGACTTTACACATGATGTCAACACTGCCTCTCCTGTTGAGAGGGGTGACACAGAGGTTAGTACCCGACTTTACACATGATGTCAACACTGCCTTCTCCTGTTGAGAGGGGTGACACAGAGGTTAGTACCCGACTTTACACATGATGTCAACACTGCCTTCTCCTGTTGAGAGGGGTGACACAGAGGTTAGTACTTGACTTTACACATGATGTCAACACTGCCTTCTCCTGTTGAGAGGGGTGACACAGAGGTTAGTACCCGACTTTACACATGATGGCAACGCTGCCTTCTCCTGTTGAGAGGGTTGAAACAGAGGTTAGTACCCGACGTTACACATGATGTCAACACTGCCTTCTCCTATTGAGAGGGATGAAACAGAGGTTAGTACCCGACTTTACACATGATGTCAACACTGCCTTCTCCTGTTGAGAGGGGTGAAACAGAGGTTAGTACCCAACTTTACACTCGTTGTCATATAAACCATACGTTGTTCATAACATCAACCATCGGTTAGTCCAATTTAAACTATATTACTGAAAGGCCAACGTGGCGTGTCTGGTTCACGGTTTAGAGCGGTGTTAAATAAACCAATGAATTACCTATTGCCTTTGTTCGGATGTAAATAGCCAACGGAAGAGATCGATTCGATCAGAACTGAATTGTGAAATCAGTAAACGATCTGACAAGATCAATAAATAATCAACAAATTCTGTTCAAACAAAGTTTACGGTTTAGTCTTAAAGTAAGAAAGAAATATATAATATACGCACTGAAGAAGGTACCTTTCAGTGACACCTCCTGGTAACATCTGGCCACCTCACCATTCGATATTTTACGAGTGGTTCACTCGTTAGCTGCTTCTGACAACCGACATTTATGTGTGAGGTAAGATAAACCTGCTATAAACCAAATAATGGTCAAAGTTTGAACTTTTCAATATTGTGTTAACTTGTTGGTTTAAAGTGAAAATGCCCCCATCGGACAAATCACACTATACCTTCAGAATGTTACTGCATCAAGGTTGAGTTAGATGAAGTGTTTACCTGTAACCATGTGATGAAACTGTACATTTGTCGAACCATTTTCCTGGAATCTTCTCTCGATGATTTCAGTATGTCTTTGAAAAAAATCCAAATACGTCGACACCGAGGAGCACTCTTTAACTGAAACATGTGAAATAATAATGCAGTGCTGTTCAGATGTGGAGTTAATCTGAAATTACTAAGAACATAGAAAGAGAGACTAATTGAGAGAACTTATAAAGACTAACTTTAAATTTTTGCATTTTACAATGTCGATAGTGAATATTATGTGTTTCAGATTTAAGCATTCTACCGTGACTTTTTAGAATGCTGCATTCTGACTGGTTTATGTTTAATTTGAGATAAAGTGTTATTTAAATGTACCTGGTATCTAAATCAATTTCAACTAGGGCTTTCTATTTTCAGTGGGTTTTCAATCTGAGTTAAGGAAACAGCGTAAGTAGCCATTAAACAAATTTCCACTTGGCTATATTTACATCATCGATACACTTCATATATAGACATCAAATGTTTATGGTACAGCCTCCTCATAAGCCAACTCAAAAGCAAATATACCAAGCTCCAAATCTCAAAATCCTTTTCCCTACAATAAGTCTATATCTGTCGTGTTTTCCTTCCGAAATTTGTTAACATACAAAACAACAATTCTGCTTTCTTTGTAGCAAATACATAATTATTTCAAAGTGTCTTAGAATACAATACTTTTCTGTAAAATCGGTTGTTTCAATCCGATGTGGTTATTGTTCCTTTTAAAACAATTGATTTAGTAAAAAGGTCACAAACCAAACCACAATATGATTACATACGATACATACATACGGTGCTTAATTTCACAACATACATATAACATATATTCACAACTTATATAATATATTAGAGATACATTTACAGTAATGAGCAAGGTAACTTCTTTGATAAAATTTGCATTCAATTATAGATTTAGATTTTGGATTTTGAAGACGATTTCTTAAACAGTGAGTGAGTTAAGTTTTATCGTCACATCGGAAATATTTCAGCCACATCGTGACGAGAACAAATTTGACGTTGAAATGGGGTACGTGTATTTCATAAAACCTGTCTTCAAAAGAAAGTAAAACTACTAGACTATCACAATTAGAATTGAAACTAGCATGTAAGGGTAATAATAATAGCACTATGTGGACAATACATAATACCGAAATAGGCTATAGATCGCCAACAACTGAAGGTATATCACCATACCAGGGACCATGGGGGACTTTTGCTACCTGAATGGACCCTGGCTGGATTTACACTCCATCTTCAGCCATTAGCGATTGTGCTTATATCTAGCCACAAATTACATGTAATATGAGTCATCAAGATACGTCTATCTACAAAACATATGAATCAAAATTTCGCTTTCATTTACAAAATCAATAATTAGATAATAATTAACATTATTAAAAAGACCCTTAACGCTTTTAACACTGAACTATTTATCCCTTGTGATGGCAAAATCTATACAGTCAAGGAGAACATGTTTGACCGTGATTCTCTCATCACAAGGGATGCAAAATGGAGGATCCTCACCTTTTAACAAATATTCGTGGGTATATCTTGAGTGGCCAATGCGACATCGTCGCATAATGACCTCTTGAAATCTGGACTGACAACCAAGGTAGGTGTAACCAATTGGTTTTATTTGATGTAATTAATTGATAGCTACTTGGGTGTCACGGATGTACGATCTATGATAGATTATTATGATAGATTTGTAATCAGAGTATGGAATGAGAAAGTGAGAAGAGATGTCACAGATTTGTGGAGTGCTGACATAGCAGCAAAATCGGCCATCGTGTTACCGGAAACTCCAAAGTGGCTGGGTAACCATCTGAAGACGATGTCACATTGCCCAGTAGCAAGATCATTTTTATAGAATTCAATAATTTCTATTAAAAGTGGATGTTTACAAGAACAGATTATATATTGTTTATATTAGGGTGTTCTTTAATACATTTAAGAGGCGTTTGCTTCTGCTGTAATAAGAGGGCTGTTAGCCATTAATCGAGAAGATATTGTTCTGGATACAACGAAAGTAGCACAAGCAACTGCGCCACCATCCGTGAACCCATCTGAATAAATATAAATATTTATATGTATCATATTTATTTCTATAATGGCTAAATTATTGTTTATATTGTAATTCATTAGTTTCTGGTTGTTTGAATGATGTCAATGTTTGGTCAACTTGTGGCCTCACTAATTGCCAAGGAGGAGAAGAAAGAAGGCGGGAAGGAGACATATTGTGTAGCTCAATGCCAGTAGCAGAAAGAAAAGGTTTGACTCTTAGTTCTTGAGGCGGAACGAGAGAAGACTTCTTGTTGTACAAATCTTCATAGGGGGATTTTAGTAAAGATAATTTTATACGGCGTTGGTAAAGAGATGGTTCATCAGCCTCGATATAGAGACTGTCAACAGGTGAAGTTCTAAATGATCCAATGATGAACAGCATCATAATAGTTTTAGGTTGCTGTTGCAGGCTCTACCATACACAATGGAGTCATAATCAAGTGTCGATCTATGTAGGTGTAGGAGGGAGGCTTGATCCCATCCCCACCTAGAAATGGAAACTTTCAAGTGCCTGCATTTATTTTTTAGATATTTTATAAAAGTTAAATGGGAGTCGAAAATAATTGGCCTCCTTTACAATTTATAATTTGATTGGGGTGACATTTGGAGTTAGTTCATGGTCTTTATGTCGTTTGTTCATTTACGGCAGAAATGTATACAATTTGTTTTCGATTTAGAAAATTTAAAGCCGTTTTCACGACACCATTTATTTCTTTTTTATTTAAACACAACTGCAGTTGTCGATCAATAGTTGGATATTTTTTTCCACAACAGGGAATATTCAAATCATCTACAAAATGTTACCAATTGATTGAATAATTTTAAACCTTTGATAAACTGTCGATCTTGATACTAAATAAATTAACAGACAAAATACTGCCTTGTGGGACACCCTGATCCTGATTATAATGATCAGACAGGGTGGAACCCAGACAGACTTGAAATTGTTTGTCATTTCAAAAGTTGGATATAAATTGAGGCAAATGGTCTCGTAGTCCAAAGTCATGTAAATCTGTTGAAATGCTATGTTTCCATGTAGTGTCATACACTTCTTCCAGATCGAAAAAGATCGACACTGTATGTTGTTTATCAATTATGACATTTTAACAAATGATTCTAAACACACTGAAAGACCGTTTTTATGGAAACCACATTGTATATCTCACAGCAAAAATAACTTCGTTTCCGGACACCGGAAACCTAACTGAAACAAAATGGAAACTTAAGTTTCAGTTAGGTTTCCGGACCGTTTCTGTATATTTCCTTCAAGTTTCCGGAAAACGGAAACTTACAAATTACCCACAATCCGGTAAGGCTCCAGTGCGTTTCCGTTACCCAGATACCCGTAGGGCTCCAGTGCGTTTCCGTTACCCAGATTCCCGTATAGTAGGCTCCAGTGCGTTTCCGTTACCCAGATTCCCGTATAGTAGGGCTCCAGTGCGTTTCCGTTACCTAGATTCCCGTAAGTTTCCAGTGAGTTTCCGTTACCCAGATTCCTAAGAGGTGCCATTGGGTTTCTGCTATCCTCTACTTTTAGTTCCTCTACTTTCAGTTGGTTTCAGTTATATACTTAATTCAATTAGGTTTCCCTTTGATTTCCGTTTCTATTAATCACATTAACCATATTCCATAAGTTTCAGTAAATCGGAATCTGTATGGCTCTACAGTAATTACCAAATGTCCACATTAAATGATGATTGAATAAATTACATGACATAATACATTCAAATACATTTCCCCTTCAGTTATCTCAACACCACCTGGACATAAAACAAAACTAAGTCAGTCAGTCGATTTCTCTTTATTCATCATAAACACTTTGGTTTTAAATATCAACAAAATATGCTCAATAGCACTAACATGTAGGAATAAGCCCACAAACCAATAACACCCATATATACATAGAGATTACTAAACGAGCGTCTGTCAGATACCATTTATCTTACAACGAGTTGTTTTAAAACGTATTTAACGAGCAAAAGCGAGTTAAATACGTTTTGAAACAACGAGTTGTAAGATAAATGGTATCTGACAGACACGAGTACAGTAATCTGTTTTTTACACACCATAAAATCGCACCATTTTATGGTCGAATAGATTCAAATTTCATGTTTTCTCATCGTAGGTGCGCAATAATACACAACACAACGTTTAAGAATGAGTGACGTCACTTGGCTTCCTAATCACTACTCATCCCCATGGTGACCCTCCACAAAAAGGTTTCTGCCACCTCTTCGCATCATCAAGGCAATGGTGATAATGATAACTAGATAAGATCACAGAAAAGTAATTAAACCCTCTGCAACCATGATGATACCATGCAAATGTGGATGATTTTAATTCTTGCAAGCGTAAAATATTTGAGCGAGTGACGTCATCGTTATCGGTTGGTGGTTGTCGTCATCGGAAGATTGTTTTGGATATCTCTGCACATTGGGGATCTGTACTTGTGTACCAGTTTACGTTCAATGTTCTCCCATCGACCGGAGCCAAAACTTTTGAGTGTGTGTAATTAGGTGCACCTAGTGTGCTTGAATGTGACATTGCTGAGGTTACGTTCACTGTCAATGGGGGACTACTCTTCTTCGCCACATCCTTCTCGTTTTCCCGAGCCAGAAACTGCCACTTGGAATGTAACGGAATTTACGGAGTTGTCAGTATGAAATGTGAGTTGATTACATCCTGTAAGTTATCAAGACATAAACTTTTCATTATCAAAATATCTTGAGCAATGACTTATGTGTAGATCAACCGTTCCTGTACATGTTCGATTGAATAGAAAGGACGTGTGCCGCCATTTGCACTCATGAAGCCTTGCAAAACGTACCGTGTTGTACATTGTTTCAACGAGTGTGTTTTGGTTCAGATTCTCATGAGTGAATTTGATAACATTGGAATCACAATAGTATCTCGGAGCTGGAAGTGGGTCTTTATCGTGTGTATCAGTGAAAAATGTCATCTTCATCAATGCATCAAAGAAACAACGAGGCAAATCGATCTCATAATGGACAGGCACTGACGTTATCGTG